GTTTTGTGTGTGCATATTTTGTTGTAACTTTCTTTTTGGTACTGTATATTGAACCCAGGGCTTTCTACATGCTAGGCAAATGGTCTGCCACTGAGCTACATCTCTGTCTCTATCAAGGGTGTGTATTGGTTGACCATTTTACATCAAAGAGGTTGTTCAATACTGAAATCTTTTGAAGCTTTCAATACATGACAGCTGTCAGTTTGGAGGCTAACCCTTACCATAAATCTAGGCAGAGAGCATCAAGTATAACACAATTTAATTGTTTTCAGTAAGTATAGTCCCTTGAAAATGGTGTAAAGGAAATTGTCGGTGTCGCTCCCGGCCGGCAGGAAAAACACACGACAGATTCTGACGGTGTGCAACCTTGTCTTTATTTGTCTCCGCGTGGGCCCCGCGAGGCCTCTGCTCTGCCACCAGTCCTTTCTCACCGGTGGACTTTCTCTATCTCTCTCTCCAGCAGGGTGGGTCACACACATATATATGGGCTCATTGTCCAATAGGGCAACAGCAGGCAATGTGAGCTGATTGGTCATCGTCATTAGTTGCTGGGTAGATCAGTCTATTGCGTGGGCTGTTTAAGTTGCCAGGGCAATCAGGGGGCAGGAAGCAGGCGCCAACTTGGCTCACTCGATGGGAGGGGTAATTTAGCTCAGGCTTTGCTCTTTCCTACAGGCCTCACGTCCGCCAAGTAAGGCGACCGGGCTCGGCCGCAGCTCCCAACATCTCCCCCTATTTTATTTATTTTGAATGAATGTATGCATCACAGCCCGCCCTGGATTGAGTGCAGAGGCTTATGCCCTGTGTTGAGGCCCACCGTAGGCCCTTGGCTTGGACCCTGGTCGGCCGTCCCTGGGTCCGCCAAGGCCTTGAGACCCTCGTCCTTTTTCCAGGGCCAGGAGTGAACTGGACGGAACCTGGATGCACATAGGCATGCACTCATGCCCCTCTGTGCGATCCCCTCGGAGAGACATCTAGATCTGGGCAGATTCTAGTAATCCAGCGGCTTTCGTGCAGTATGGGGTAGGGCCTGGCTTAGGTCGAGTCGTGCTGGGGAGGCACGCTCTTACCCGTCATTGACTCACCTACCCTGCTGTGTGGTGTCAATAGGGAAGGAGTGCGGAAGACCCGCCACATCTAGACCCGGTCGTAGGCCAGTCGAGCGAGCCATGTGTAGGCCTGGGGGTCATTGTGCCCATCACGGGCTGCTGCCAGGGCCGCATGGGCAACCAGGCGTACTTGACGTCGGGCCGCCGCAAGGCGCCCATTAATGAACGATGTGACCCATCGGAGCAAGCATGGTCCTATAAGCAGGAGCAAGAACAAGGAGCATAGAGGGCCTAACAAGGGTAGCACATAGGGGAGCAAGCCGTTCCAGGCCCCCAAAAAGGGATTGTCCTGCAGTTCTTTTAGGGCTCATCTTGTTGTTGGGTCTGCGGTTGGCCTCTGGTGAAACAGGCCTGATCTTCAGTCGAGGGACTTGTCGCACGCGTCAACCTCTCTGGGACCCACAGTGGTTCTCGTCCCGGTCCCTGCGGAAAGACACAAACCGCGCCTCGGTTCCAGCTAATTACCGGATCCGGGCCCATCCATTGTCCCGTCAGGACATCTTTCCATCTAACCCATCCTTTATTTTTTGGGGATGGGGTACAATGTGCCATAGCTGGGGAGCAATTTTCACTGTTTAAGTTTTAAAAAATTGTATGTGAATAATGCCATAGATAACCGCGCCTTTGGAGGCAGGCCTTGGCTTACTCCCCCTTTTTGTTTTTTATTTTATTTTATTTTATTTTTTTTTTTATTTATTTTTTTATCGGTACCAGGGATCGAACTCGCGATTGCCTGCTTACAAGGCAGGCGCTTATGCCGCTAAGCTAAATCCCCAGCCCCCGTTTCCTCGACCGGCGTTTTTCTCAGCCTGCTCGGCAGAGAACTCTGCGTATCATGCTCGCCAGTCTAAGTAGCTGTCTGAGAGTAGACATGCTTTTGCCAACTGGGTCCAGTCCGCTGGGGTGAGCGGCCCAGAAGACAAGTTTTCTAGCATAGCTATGGTATAGGGTGCAGTAGGACCGAAGGTCGTGACAGCGCTTTTTAATTTTCTAATCTGTTTTATTTCAAACGGTTCCCAAACATTGCGCCCTTGGCATGGGGCCATTTGCACAGGATATACTCCATAAAGACCGTAATCTATTCCTTGCATCGGTGGATCCCCTCCGGACCATCGTTCACCCCTCCACAGCCGCCCATGAAAATACCGTCCGCCCCGCGGCGCGACGTCATAGGATGGTGGTCGCGACAGAGTGGAAAGGGGCGTCACTTCCTGTGCCGGCTGAGAGAAAGGGGGGTCCCCTGTAGCGGCCTCCCGGCGGGGAACCACTTCTGGAAATGAACTCCAGGGCAGAGCGGATGGCTCTCTATCTCCTCCCCGCCAGGGGGCGCTCGGGGGTCCTTTTTCCTCTCTTTGCTTTTCTCGGGCGGCGCACGCACACAATTCGCGGCGCAACTCGGCATAGGGGTTTCGGGCCTCTCGGCTTCCTGCCCCACCTTCTAGTTCCTCCTCGCTATCTGAGTCGGAGGACTCCAGTGCTTGGGTGTTCTCTATCTTTTCCTGGATCTTCTCCCCCTGGACAGACCCCTCCCGAGAGCATTCCGATTTTGCCTGCTCAAAAGCCTTGCGTGCGTCCATGATTTCCGCGTCTCTAACTGCCGACGGGAACCCCTTCCCCTCCCCTTCAAGACACGCATGTATCATTTCCCACAGGGGGCGAATAGCCGGCGAAATATCGCCTCCCAATTCTGCCGAGGCAAGGTCCCCGCCTAACTTCTCCCATGACGGCAGGTTTAAATGCCCTGTGGGTAAAAACCAGGGAGCCACCCTATCTACCTCCGCTATGAATAGTTCCAGTGTTTTTTGACCTACCCTGAGGTCTCTAGATTTTAAAAGCTTCTTAAGGGCCTTTACCAAGGGCCGTGCCTCCGCGCTCGGTAAATTACCCATCCTCAACCTCCGAGGGCTGTTACTCACCGCGTGTGACTTAGAGAACCCGTCACCTACGCGTGAGCCTGAGGGGAGTCTAAAAGCCCTGTAGGTGCGTGCCACCCAGAGCCCAGGCTTATCCCCTACTCACCTGTCCGGCAGCACCGCGCTGGAGCGTTGCACACCACCGAGGGGAGTGATCAGGTCCTCGTACGGGCCACCAGATGTCGGTGTCGCTCCTGGCCGGCAGGAAAAACACACGACAGATTCTGACGGTGTGCAACCTTGTCTTTATTTGTCTCCGCGTGGGCCCCGCGAGGCCTCTGCTCTGCCACCAGTCCTTTCTCACCGGTGGACTTTCTCTATCTCTCTCTCCAGCAGGGTGGGTCACACACATATATATGGGCTCATTGTCCAATAGGGCAACAGCAGGCAATGTGAGCTGATTGGTCATCGTCATTAGTTGCTGGGTAGATCAGTCTATTGCGTGGGCTGTTTAAGTTGCCAGGGCAATCAGGGGGCAGGAAGCAGGCGCCAACTTGGCTCACTCGATGGGAGGGGTAATTTAGCTCAGGCTTTGCTCTTTCCTACAGGCCTCACGTCCGCCAAGTAAGGCGACCGGGCTCGGCCGCGGCTCCCAACAGGAAATATATTTCCAAATTTAATACCAAACTCCCAGAGAAGAAAATTAATAACATTTGTTAAGAATAACTATTTTGCCATCTCACAGTGTGGAATAAGTGCTACCTCCAAGGAGTTTGAATGAAATGAAAATACAGATTTAGAAATAACCACTAAAGGAACAACGATGAAGACTATATGGTAAATGTTCCAAATTATTAGAAAAGAATGCATATTCAGAACAATATAAAGAAATACTAAGGTATCAAACCCTATTCCCAGAAGTAACAACAGTTGATAATGCCAGTGTTTCCACACAGTTTGTTCTATGGGCAAGATGTTGGCTCCATTTCTCTGTGTGGACTTCCTCTCTCTCTGAGCCCCAATATACAGCCTTTTCAGAGAGATGATAAGCTGCTTGTAGAAGATCCATTTTTTACTTAGGTTTACCACAATTTATTTATGCTGCTTTTGATGAATAATTATCATTTCAGAATTCAGGACCCAGAGTGATGGCACCCTTTATGCACTCCCAAGGAGATGTAATATTTGGTTATCTCTGTTGGTTGGGGCTGAACAGAGGAATAATCCAGTTGGTGTTAAGGAATGGGACTCAAGCTTTCTCTGGCATGGACTACCAGCTACCTGTTTTCATGAGCATTTGTGCTTATCTTAGATGAAGTGAACATTGAAAGTGAGACTGGTAGTTGAGTAACCAACCCCAACCAAAGAGTACAAAGGATGTGAAAGACTTTTGTGAAAGTGGCTGCTTCCAGTGGGAGTAGCCAGTGAAAACAAAAAGAACAGCAAGTTCGAATTCCTGAATGCTCTGCTCAAGACACAGTCTGAAACCCAGGAATTCCATACAAAGAAATTATTACCTTGTGTATCCATTGCATTCCTTGCCTAAATTCCAAGTCTTTTGTTTGGAATTTAGGATTTTGATTGTGAAAGGGCACTGTAGGGCTGAGAGTAAGGATGGTGTTGCGTGAGAGAATGTAGAAGTGTGTGAGTATTTAAAATTCCCAGTTCCCACTGAGCTTCTTGTGTAAGCTGAATCCAATTCCATTTGCCCTTGAAGAGACTGTATCTGTCTTGAATAAAGACCCTGTAGTGGCCTCAACTGAGAATGGTGCTTAAGGGAAGCCAGTTTTCACATCCGATTTCATCCTTCTACCTCTAAACCTTTAACTGTCTTGTACTACGTTATGTACTCTATAAACATTAATTCAGTTAATCTTACCAATACCTTCATGAGATAGTTACTATCATTATCTTCATTTTCCAGATGAGGAAACTGAGGCATAGAAATTAAGTGCCTCTTTCAAAAAAACACAGCTAATAAGTGGTAGAAATGGTATTTGAATCAATGAGAACCTATGCTCTTAACCATCTTTTCATCCCTCTCACCACGTGATTTGCTTTCTTGATCACAGCTGTCAAGATGTGGGAGGAAGTGCCTTTTGGCATTAGAAAAATGAAGAGTCAGACATGCGATAGGCAATAACTCTTGTATTGTTTATTGTGAGTTTATTAAACCCCACAAAAGAAAATGAAATTTTTTATTCCTAGGAATTTGCGTTATGAATAATTTTCTCTAAGTTGGGTTTTACTTTCATATCACATCCCTTGAGCCATTCAGATAAATCATGGTCAAAACAATGCCGGCTCCATGAATCCCTGAGAAATGAAGAGAGAGAAAGAGATCAGAGGATGAAGCAGACAAGTTGATGCAGTGGCAGTACCATTTTCCCTGGCTGCCCGTCCCTCATGAACGTACCAGGCATTCATACCGTTCTTTGAGGATACAACCTGCTTGACACATATGATGTCATCCAGAATATGGCGGTTGAGCAGATCTGGTTGGGAGGGGCAGAAAGTGCAACATAATGACCTGGTGCATTGGGGATAAGGTGACAGTGTACGGGGATTCAGGGTTACTGAGTTCCTTGGGGCAACAACTGATTACTACATTGTCTGATTAGGGATGACATTGACTCTGGTTACCTGGTTATTTATAAATGGTTTCAACTGCTACATTAACTCATGTTGACTGATCTTTGCTGATCTTGATCCATTTTTGATTTGCTATGAATAACTGAACCAATATATTGGCTTTCTCTGGACAACATAAAACTGTTTGCCAGCTCTGGATGACTTCAACTGTCATTATGTCTGGGTTTGAACGTTCTCAACTATAATGTTGGCTGGTCTGACATATATTCACCTACCATGTTAGTTAAATTGGTAAGCTACTTGTCATGTTGACCAGTCCTGGTGATTTCAAATACGATTGTTGGATTCATCATAAACTCAGTGTCTATTTTGATTGGTCATGAATGACTCAGTCTCCATATTGGCTAGTCATGTTCCACCTCAGCTACCCTGATGGCTGGTTATAGATGATGTCAACTACCATGTCATTAGATTAAAATGACCTTTAACTGCCACTTAGCTATTAATGACCTCAATCACCATGTTGTCCTGTCCTGGACAACCTCAGATGCCATTTTTATTAGTTATAAATAACTTTGACCTCCATTTTAGCTAGTTCTGGACTACCTCAATTTCCATACTGTTTCAAACTGAACAATTTTTAACTTTAATTTTAGCTAGACTTGATAAAACTCATTACCCATTTATCATGCTTTAGATATCAATCTCTATGGTTGTTAATACTCGACAATCTCAATTTTAAATCTGGCCAATCTTGGGTGATCTCTTCTGTTTTGTTGACAGGACTTGGACAACCTTAACCTCCATTTGGACTGTCTCCAAATAACAATCAATTTTGGCCTGTCTCAACCGCCATTTTGGCCAACCCCAAGCAACTTCCAATGTTATGCTGTTTTGTACTCAATGCCATCATACTTTTGTCTGGAAAATTCTTTTGTTTCTTCACAGAAGTAGTTTGTTTTTGTTCCTACTTCCAGACATCTGCTACTTTGCTTAAGGCCTAGTCTCTACCTCTTTCACATGGCGCTAAGTTGCCAGTTTTCTGAGTGTCAGAAAACTGTAGTTTCCATAATGGGTGAGATTTGGGAGCCTTGCATTTTCCTGACCTAGACAACATCTCAGGGTAGTCTGACAATTCAGGATAGTGTCTTCATTTCTCCAGGTACCTTTTCCTTTTTCCCCATCATTTTTTCTGCTCTTAGAAGGAGAAATTAGCCATATTTGGAGGAGACTGTAGTTTAGACAACTTCATCTTCTGTGTGTGTTGTGTGGGGCCTGCAGGTCTTCCATGTGTTACCAATGCTGACTTACCATTACAGTCCATGTGGCAAAGGTTCTTGGTGGGTGTGATGCCATTGTCACACCACCAGGCGGAGTTCAGCTGGAAAATGCCATACTCACTGCTGCCATCAGGATTGTGGTCCACAAAGGAGGTGTCAAAGCCACTCTCGTAGTGTGCCATGCACAACCCTGAGGCAGGGAGAGGAAAGATAGGAGGTAAGCATGAGGCATAGGAATAGGGAAGCTAGGGTAAGACAGATAAAGACGAGGAGGATTGTCATCTTAGTAGTGAGGGTGATGATGTTGGGGATTCTAGTGAGATAATAGTGATAGTGGTGATGATGATGTTGATGGAAGAGACTGATGGAATGGTTGCGAAGGCAATGATAGGGATTAGAATTAAATTAAACCACTCATCACAGTCACCAAGTCACTGAGAAGCTTAAGCCCTGGTCCAGAGAGACAAAAAATGACAAAGAAGGCCTGAGTCTGAGTGTGGAGGGTGGTTTGGGATAAGGGTAGGACTTGGGGCAACTGGAATCTCACAGTCTCCAATGCTGTAGCCTTTATAGTTGTTGAGGCCTGCTTTCTCTAGCTTCTTTGCTAGCTCACAGCGTTCATAAATCTTGCCGTCCACGTTGGCAGCCATTAGTATGATCATTATCACTGTGCTTGAGAACTGCATTATGATATCCACAATCCCTCAAAGCTAACTACTTGCTCCTGACTCACCCTGTGGTGTTCAGAATGAAAGATTCTGGAACTCTGATCTCTATGAGCAGTGGTCCGAGTCATAGATTCTAGACCACAGAGGTCAAAGGTCACGCTGCCTCATCATTTTCCCAAGTTCCAGTTGTATTAGAAGCCAAAAGACATACACAAGGACAAAGAAAGACACTGAAATGTACCAGAGATGGAAAGAAAAAGGGAGAAACACAAAAATGAGCTGCAAGAAAGGGGCTTGGGAACACACGAAGGAGAGGTATTGCTCAAGTAATACGCCTCTCACTGGGCCTGTGACTCCTCTGCCACTTGCTTACCTCCCTTTCTACTCATTGACCCTCGTTACTTCTGCCCCCACCGCTGAGTGGGCAGTGCTGCTCATCACACTGTGGCCTATTACCATCCCTGATTCTTTATGCTCTGTAGTCTGATCATTACATCGTTGTCTCCTGTCCCCTACTACCTCCATTGACTCCTTGTCTAAGGCTGTGCTGCTGTAACAGAATACCTGACAGTGGGACGTTTATAAAGAACAGACCTTTATTTCCTCACAATTCTGGAGGCTGGGCAGTCCCCAGATCAGTACCTAATAAGGGCTTGTATGCTGCAACTTCACATGACTGAAATTAGAATGATAAGAAAGCAAATCCATTCCTGCATGCCCTTTTTACAGTAGCATTGATTCATTCATGAGACTGGAGCCCTCATGACTTAAATATTTCCCTACCTGCCCCACCTCCCAACACTGTTGCTTTGGGGATTAAATTTCTAACACCTGAAGTTCAGATGGGACACATTAAAACAGTAACATTCATCTTGGTATCTCCTTCACCTCTCTACACTTAACTACACTATTACATGCTAATTGAAACAGCTCGATGTTTTATGTTACACATGACATGCTATATGTATATACTACATATACTCACTGCTTTTTTGCCCTTTCTCACTCTGCCTTTTATTCCCCAGTTCACTTACACTGCCTCTCATCCAATTTTATTTACTCATACTGGGCCTCTTACACAATTCCTTAACCCTCTCCTTAATATTACCCAAATTTTGTCACATCATAGTCCTTCACCTCCATACACTCTCAGACCTGTTTTCTCCTTTCGTCTCTACTTCCTGACACTGCATCAGGTGGGTCATTCATCCTCACAGGCCCATCCTTCAGCTCTCATCACTGACTCTGGGGTGAATCTTGCTGCCTCTTCCTCATTTCTGTTCTTTCAGATGCTGCCTCCCATCACCCCCATTTCCTAAAACTGTGTCCCTCATTACTCCTAAACATTAGCTCAAGTGACCCACTGTATTAGTCACTTTTCTTGTCTCTAAAACACATTCCCCAACACCTGCAACTCCAAGGAGAAAATGCTTATTTTGGTTCACAGTTTTTAGAGATTTCAGTCCGGGTTAGTCTGCTGGCTCCAAGGCAGAATGGCATGACATAGGGCAGTAGTGGCAAACTTATTGCATGTGTGCCACAGCGAGCTGGTTTTATCATTGAAAGCTCTAAAAGGCTTTTTATCACTGGCATAAGGGCATAGCAGAGGAGAAGCTACTCATAGCATGGCACACAGGAAGCAGAAGGAGTTTAAGGGAGGAGCCAGGGAGGGAAATAAACTTTCCCAGGTCATGTCCTTAGTAACCTGTCTCTTCTGGCTAGACCCCATCTCCTAATAGCAAGTCAGCTATAAGCCCCCATCCCCCACCTCCCCACCGCTGCCAAATCCAATCACCTTCCCAAAGTCCTGCCTATGAGCACATGAAGCTTTTGAGGGGCATCTAGATATAAACTATAGCATCCACACATACTCTGTGCTTGGTCTCTTGGATTCATACACACACAATAGTGGGAATAGTATTTAAGGGGCTGAAGCAGGCCAGATTTCAATGGGCTCTAAGGGTCCAGCTTTCCTTATATTCTACTGCTAATACATAAAGTAGACAAGTTTTAAACCCAAGAGGTGCTGATTCTTCAGGGAACAAGAGTTCTGAGTTCTTTTGCTTTCTTTCTCCTTGCTTGCTCCATTTTTCGACTAGTTTTAATAGCTTTAGTATGAGGCTCCTAAGATACCGTCTGGAAATTTTGTGAGATATTGAACAAACAAAAGTAGAGTATTACGGAGTAGAAGTTATGGATCCAACCTTGAAAACTTGTGTGAACTTGAGCAAGTCACTTAATCCAATTTCTCTATTTGAAAATTGGGGACCATGGGTCAGTTGTGACTATCTTAGGCAGGTCATGTTATGTACTTCACACAGTGTCTGGCACACAGGAGATATGTCACTTTCTTGTTGCCAGGAGCCTCCTCACTGGTCTCCCTGTTCCCACCCTTGTCCTTTACAGTCTGTTCTCCACACAGCAGCCTGAAAGTCACCTTTATCTTTTTTCCCACGCATTTCTGATTTTATATAATTAAGAAACCTTTGTTATGTGCCAAATGTTCTAAACTTTTTACAATTTGCAGCCTATTTTCACTACAAATTTAGTGAGGTAGGCACGGTCATAATTTTATAGATGAGAAAACTTAGCTCAGAGAAATTAACAGTCATGACCTATGTCATACAGTGGCAGATGGGGTTTGTACTCAGGCTGTCCCCATGTTTGTTTGGATTTGCTTTCTTCCTTACTACAATGCCAACATCGGACACACAGGAGATACTCAAGCAAACCCTTGTGGAGATCATATTCTAGTGAGGCATAGCAGGCAATAAACAAATGAGTCAAATATATGTGTATTTTTAACTTGAATATATAATACGAGATTGCTGTGAAACTTTTAAAAGCCAGATCTCTTGTATGGTTTTCCACTATGTCCAGAATGACTTATGAGCCCCGTCCCTGGCTGAGGAGGCCCTAAGACACCTAGCCGTCAGCCATACCTCTTACACACCCAACACGCTGAGAGTCTATGCCCATGCAGAAAAGGCAACCTGTCAGCCACTGCTTAACACACTGGCCTCACCCTTGATGTGTATGATGTCTCTCACACATCTGTTTATTCTTCAGCATGTTGTCTGCTCTGCTTAACTTTTTACCTTTTTACTTCCATTGCTAGAACGGGAGTTCACTCCCAGCTCTTGCCACTGGATGGAGCAGTCAGTGGCTTGTCTTTCCTCTCCCGGTCTTTGTACATGGATAGCATGTATCCTGTCTTCCTGTCCAGTTACACCTGCAACCCCGCCGCTACTCTCTGGAGTTCAAGACAAGAAAGCACCCTTTGCTAGACTCTTTCCCTTAGTTTGGTGGCCTCCTCCTCATCCTGCATAAGAAAACTAGCATTTAACTCTTAGGAATGCTGGCCTCGAAGAACAAAGTAAACACCTGTTTTGCACCACCACCCTGGAGCTGAAAAGATCAAATAAGCCCGGCCATCTCACTTCCGGACAGTGACGCACTGGAGCGGCTACCTTCCCTCTGCACCTGCGCAGCTTTCCCCCAGTCCCTATCTCGCTCCATGTTGACTATTGGCGGATGCGGTCTCAAAAGCGTCACTGAGCATGCGCAGAACTGACTGCTGCAGTTTTTTACACTGCGGTGTCAAGAAAGTCTGTCCCAAAGCGGAAGTGCTTCTTAGAGCCAGTTCTTGCAACGGTTTCCTCAGCTGCGAGCAGAAAATCTGCTGTCGAGAAAGAGTGAGGTTGAGAAGGCAAGTGCCGGGGTCATTGGCTGAGTGATGGGGAGTTGTGGGAGATAAATGAAGGGAGATTTATGAGGCGTCACTGAGGAGTGATGGGGGGACCGAGGTCAGTGAATGGGGGACTGTGGGCTCAGTGATGGACAAAGTTATGAGGCTAGTTAGTATTAAGTGTATTAAGTGGAGCTTATTAAATTTCGACTTTCCCACATTTTCCAGCACTGTGACCTGTGCTAAGGCTTCATGCGCATCTCTCAGGCCCCTCTTTAGAGGCGCCCGTCTCTCTACCCCTTTCCCTCTGCCAAGCCCCGAGGTACAGGCCTGGCATAAATGCTCCAGCTGAAGTGAGTTTGTACCTGAAGGCCTCTTTCTGGCTCCCGGGCTAGCCGATCCCAGTGAGGTGAGGCGAAGGAAGGAGTACCTGAGAGGACTTACCTGGCCATGGGCCACTCCGTATTTGGGACTCGGAGGGGTGGGCGGGGTCTGGTAATTCAGGGTCTGAAGGAGGTGAAGGTAAAACCTCATTTGGATAACAGGTAGTTCTAAATTCTTTTGGCATTTAATAAATAAGTAACAAATTCGAATTATAGATTAATTGGTAAATAGAAGAAAAAAGGAACTGATTCCCCCATACATTTAAGTATCTGTTATTAGACATATAACAGTATACCTTTTTAAACATTGAACTTATAATTTTAAAATGGGTTTCTGCAGTTTTGTAACATGTTTTCAGTTAGAAGTTTACTACAAGATTTTCTATAACATTTTCTAAACTTTTAATTGAAATATATGTACCATAAAGTACAAAGTGTGCAATTCCATATAGCATATTTTAAAGGAGAGGTTTAATTTGGTTCATATCGTATGACATTTTTAAGAGCTATATAGCATTTCATCTCTGACATTTAGTTTTGCTCTTATTATGGGTCATAAAGGATTGCTTAAGTTTGGCATTGTTAAAATCAATGCTGATATGAAGGTACCTACAAAGAAATTATATATTAGGACCACTTATGTTTTTAAGGAAAATATGTAGAAATACAATTTCTGGGTCAATGTACAATTTAATATATATGTTAAAAAGCTCTTAGTATTCAATGTTCTCATAACAAAAAGTATAAAATACATAGATTATTAAAACCACATGGTTGCCCAAACTTCTACAGAGTGGCCTCATGACCAGCTTTTGTAAGGGGATTTCTAGGCAGATTATTCTGGGCAGTTAGCCTCATGGGGTCTTCTCATAACCTCTACTCTTCTCTGCTTATTTCAGCTCAGGTTTCACACATTTCTGCCTTTTCCCAAGAAAAGCAGACCATGGCCAATGTCCAGGTAAGTATGTTATTTGTCTGTTTCTTTCTGTTTTACCATAGATGTGATGAACTATGTAGAAACTTATTTGTAAATAAGGACTAGAATTAGAGACA